TTGTTTTGTTTTGTTTTGTTTTTCGAGACAGGGTTTCTCTGTGGCTTTGGAGGCTGTCCTGGAACTAGCTCTTGTAGACCAGGTGGTTTCGAACTCACAGAGATCCACCTGCCTCTGCCTCCCAAGTGCTGGGATTAAAGGCGTGCGCCACCAATGCCCGGCCAGCCTCGTAGCTGTAGCTGCTGGGATTAGGTGTGTCATCGCCACACCTCACCCTGGAGGGTTTAATCTAGGTGACTTGAATGTGTCACCTGCTGAGAGTGTGTTGTGCCCAAATTCTGAACCCCCAAATCACCAAGAGGTCCATTTCGATGCAAAAGCAAAGAGCCTTTTATTGCAGTTGTTTAAAGAGCCAACCCCATTAGCTACGGCCTTTCATACATCCACCATGGTGGGTGGCTGAAGAAAGATCCCAAAAGCCACGAGACAGGGATCTTGTAGGGCAGCGTAAGGGGAGTGTCTGGGGTACGCACAGGCTCAGGATTGGCGTGCCTCCAGGCTTGGACAACCTGTCCTGTGTTGATTGGTCAACTGGTTGTTATGGCCCATGGCCCTCCCAGGGCAGTTGCTATGCTCTGCACGTCACTGTTGTGCACTTGTGTAAAGCACAGCCAGAGCCATAAAGCACAGCCCTGCCAGCAAACTTCTGATTGGTTCCTTGCCACGAGGAGGGCATCTGACCTCCTAGTGAGCAGGACAGGCCCAGCAAGGTCAGGTGAGCACATGTTTGCCTGGCATGGCTGTCAAAACGGGGGACTGGTCCCTTCAGGTGCAAAGGTGGTAAAAGTGATGAATGCATTAGGGAAAGAAGAGGAAGTGGGAATTTAGCCAAGTCTCATGGCAACAGGTACTGTACTTCCCAGTTCTGTTCCACCCTTATCATCTCATTCTGAGGAAGACTCACCTGAGACTTGGCTCTGCATCCTATCCCTGGGCCTCACACCTGAGGCTCTGACCAGCAGGAATGAGGACTGTTGATGGTGGCAGGTGAAAGGGTGTGTAGAAGAGAAGTGGCTTCGGAATGTGAGCGAGACATTATGTATCCAGTTCCTGTAAGTCATTCATTTATCCTCCCAAGTCCTGTGTTGAAATATAGTTGCCAAGGCAACAGTATTAGGTGTGGGGCCTTTCGGATTTGATTCGATCACAAAGGCATATAGGTGATTAGTCACCCTTAGAGAAGAATTGGACAGTGGCTTTTCCGTCTCCCCAACCTTCTCAACGTGCTTTGTCACAGAATCTGAGGGCACCTTGATCTTAGACCTTCCAGACCTCAGAACTGTGAACAATAAATTTTAATTATAAATCAATAGTTGTGGTGGCTTGAATGAGAATGGCTCCCATAGGCTCATAGATTTGAATGCTTGGTCAACAGGAAGTGGCACCATTTGAAAGGATTAAGAGGTGTGGCCTTGTTGGAAGACTAGGCTCATAGATTTGAATGCTTGGTCAACAGGAAGTGGCACCATTTGAAGGGATTAAGAGGTGTCACTGGGGGTGAGGGTGGGGAGGGAGTTGACATTTCAAAAGGGCAAGCCAGGCCCAGTGCCTTTTCTTCCTGCTGCCTGAGTGGAGATCCAGCTACTTCTCAGCTGCTTCTCCAGCACCATGTCGGCTTGCCTGTCACCATGTCCCCACAATGCTGATAATGGACTAATCCTCTGAAACTGTAAGCCAGCCCCAATTAAATCCTTTCCTTTACAAGAGTTGGTGTGGCCATGGTGTCTCTTCCTAGCAACAAAACACTAAGACAAATAGTCTAAGATATTTTTGACACAGTGGCCTGAATAGGCTAAGACCAGTTATTTGGTTGAGACCCCTTGACCCAGAATTCAGCTGAAAAACTATGTTCTTGTAGGTCTGTAGCACAAACTAGTTCAGAAGTTGTGAGCTCTGTCTTGTGCCATTTGTCATTGTACTGTTCAAGGACCTAGCTCTGCAACTGGAACTCTCCTTTCTCTATTTCTTTCCTTTAATGGTTTTATCTTATGTATTCACAAGGACTGTCATTTGTTAGCCCCTCTCCCCAGGAAAGGATAAGCCCTTTGCTCAAAGCTCATTCTCATAATAGAGTGACCTTCTCAGTGTCTGCACAAGGAAGACCTGATACATAAGCTCACATCTCTGCCTCCCTGGTAGCCAGTCTCACGCTCTCTGCCCCTCAGAGGGAAGAGCTATATTGAGCTTTCCTCTGAGTTTTCACTCAAATAAAAAACAAAAAACAAATTGGTTCATTATAGTTCACCTTCTAAGAAGCAGAGTAAGAGACAGAATTTCAGAGTTAAAATGGAGAATTTGTGGTCATCCTTGAACATGTGTTTATGTGTGTTTCCTTGGTCCTCAATTGGTGTTTGCAGTTGCTCTCAAGTATGTGAGCATAAGATAAGCATAAAGCAGGTCACAAAATAAAGTTGTGACCCCTTGACAAACCTCTAGCTCCAAAAGTATTTACATTACGATTCAAACAGTAGCAAAATTACAGTTAGGAAGTAGCAATGAAAATTTTATGGTTAGAGGTCACCAGGACATGAGGAACTGCATTAAGGGGTCGCAGCATTAGGAAGGTTGAGAACCACTGATCTACAGGGTTGGGATTATTTAGTCTGCAGACAAATCCAAAGGACAAAAGCCAGATGACAGTCACCACCAAGTAATGAGACAGTTTGGTTTAAAGAGAAGAACTACTTCAATGGCTACATGGTGGGTTTTTATTTTTTTGGAGAACATTACAGTTTGGAACAAGTTATACGGAGGGGATCTAGCATCTTTTCTTAGGGTCATTAAAACAAAACTTGTCACAATTAGCTAGTTCTGTCCTGGCCCTAACTGAAGGAAGAGGGGATATCTCCCCTCTATTCTTACCCCAAGGGGAAAAAATTCCTGGTTCTGATTCTCTTAGTCTAAATTGAATATTTACTCTGCTGTGCCTTTGTAACTAAGACAAATGATTGTACTAGAAAAATCTTTCTTCCTAATACATTATTTATGAGGAAAACTAGTATGGACTAGTAAAGAAAAGGAAATTTTAAGTGTGTATATAATTTATGTATAATCATCGCTCTTAGCTCCAATTTTAAAAACCAGCCCCATAAGGAAAATTGAGAGGAAAACACCCCTTAGAGTCTTATACACACTTTAAAATTATTTACATTTTTAGGTTCCATCACTCTGGTTCTAGAGCATCAGCTTTGAGGGCGTGGTCAGGCATACCTGTAGCCAGCCCCTAGCAGGCATGGTTAACGTGTCCCTTACAGGGTCAGTGTGACAATGACTTCAGATCATGCTATGTCTCTGAGGCCTAGTCCTGATGTTTCCTGCTTTGTCTCTGCATTGGGGGAAAAAAAAAGACCCTTCAGGAAGAGAGTCACCAATTCCTAAGTAATTAGAGCATTTCTAAGTATTTAGAGTAGATTGTTCAATAAAGAATCCCTGGGAAATTGATTGGCTGTTTTGGAAAAGAATGAAGTTAGATCCTTACTTTAATATATAAAGTAAAAGAGCTTCCAAATATATCAAATATATGAAACACAAACACAAGAACAGATTAGTAACTAGTGTGTAGTCAATGTTTAGAGAGGGAAAGACCACGGTACATACAATTCTCGAGAAGGGAGAAAGTGAAGAAAAGATTAATGAGACTTGGAGGGTGAATGTTAAAATCTCTGGTTGGTGAAGGTACAGTCCAGTGGAGGAGAGTGTGTCCAGCATGTACAAGGTCCTGGGAAAAGAAATACTGTAACAATGTGTGTGTGTGTGTGTGTGTAGATTGAAAATGTAAATACACAAAGTGAAAGAAAAATTATATACTAGGAAAAATCTTTGCAACATGTATGAAAAAATGCTTGTTAAAATATAAAAAATGGTTTTCCCATCTTGAGGGGAAGGGACTCACCACCAGAAAATAAACAAAAAGCATATACAAGCAGTGGTCAGAGAAAGAATGGCAAAGGGAAAACTGAAATATGAAAAACCATCACCCACATGACTCATAAACTTACAGAATAAGTTTTCTCACATTTACCATGCTCTTTTGTTGTTGCTGTTTTGGTTTGGTTCCGTTTTTTGAGACAGGGTTTCTCTGTGTAGCCCTGCTATCCTAGAACTCACTCTTTAGACTAGGTTGGCCTCAAACTGCAGAGATCCACCTGCCTAACATT